TTGTTGGGTTTTTCTCTGTGTCTATGAAGCGCCTTGAGGCGACTTTTGTTGTGATTTGGCGCTATATAAATAAAATTGAAATTGAATTGAATTAACTTTAGAGATTAAAACACACACACGCTCACTCATTTAAAGTGTGTTCCTGTGAGGCAGGACGGGTCACGTCGGAATCACATGCTCAGTGTAAACGTCAGGTTGTGTCATGTGTTGCAGCGACGCCATCCTGAAGTACCTCACCACCAAGTACGATGTCCCAGAGCACTGGTATCCACGGCAACCAGAGAGACGAGCCCGAGTGGACGAGTACACAGCGTGGCATCACACCAACACACGACCGCACGCTGCTAAAGTCTTCATCCTGGAGGTATGGAGCCAAAATCCTGATTTTGTAAAACACGTCTTCAAATATCTGAAATCAGCTGATCAGGAGACTGCAGCGTGGGGTTCTGTGATGACGGCGCACCTGTTCTGACATCATCAGGAATATAAAGCTGCTGTAATGCCATGAAGGAGCTCAGGTGTGCTTTGTGTCTCCGCCCACCTCAGGTGCTGCTCCCAGCTCAGTCTGGCTCTCCGGTGGATGAAGCCCGTTTGAATCGTGCTCTCTCCGACCTCGACGACACGCTGGATAAACTGGAGTCCATGTTTCTTCGCCGCCAGCCTTTCCTCTGCGGTGATGACATCACTGTGGCCGACCTGCTCGCGACGTGCGAGCTCACGCAGGTCAGTTTCTGGATGCTCAAGCCCCGCCCCCCTCAGAGAAGCCTTTTGTCTCTTTGGGTATGTTCAGAGAGCTCGTCTCCAAACAGCTGCAGTGAAACTGAGACACAAACAGGAAATGGAGAAGCTTCCCCTTCAAAGTAAAAGTTGTAATTCTGCACTGCTGCCAACAAAAGTGCAGCTTTTACTTTAAAAGCAGAGCATGTCTGTTTGTGTTGCACTTTTTAACTTGTCCCTGCCCCAGCGAGCAGTTACAGACATGATACTCTTGTGATGAGGAAGAGGATCAATAGGGGGTCCACGACCCTCTTAGGGACTCTCCAGTTGTTGTTCTTAGAACTGAAGAAGCTTCTCTGATTAAGTCCCAAAGCTTTTCTTTCTGAGCTCCTCAGACTACAATGAGCTGGATGTCTGAGAACCTTCACAGACTGAGTTCAGATTATTGCTTCTCTTCTCATGAAGGATGCTCCACTGTCTCCTCTGCTAAAGGAAGCACTGAAGCTCCTTTCCTTACTCTGAGGACTGACAGCTGTGATTAGAAACGCTCCCGAGAGGAGCGGGCACTCTGAACGTACCCTGTGTTTGTGTCTGTATGGTTCTGAGCATGCTCAGTGTGTCTCCTTGCAGCCTCTGGGCGGGGGCAGAGACGTCCTGAAGGAGCGTCCTCAGCTGCAGCGGTGGAGGAGTCGAGTCCAGTCGGCCGTCGGTGAGGCATTTGACGAAGCTCACAGCGTCCTGTATGCCCTCAGAGACCGCCGCCGAGCCCGTCTGTGACATCTGCATGAGGGGGAGGAGTCAGTCGAGGGTGTGAGGAGGATGAAGGAGTGGCTCAATTTCACTTTGATTTCTCTGCTTTAAAAACCTCAGAGGCCTTCGAGCCATCACAGAGTTCCTGGACTCTGATCGATGACAGAATCAATAAATATCGATGAATCAATGTTGGAGTTCAATGTTTGAATCAGCTGAAGCACTTTAACAGGAAATGAGCTTTGAAATGAAAATAAAAAAAGCTGCTTGTACTTTGCCCCTTGAGTGTCTGTGACTGAGCGCCCCCCGCAGGCTGGAGGAGGAGCTGCGGCGCTGTAGGCGTGTTCAAACGAGCACATTAAAGAGACTCAGCAAAAATGTAAAAATCTTTATTAGAAAACTTTATTTACACCAGGTTCAGCAGCAGAGACATGTGACTACACAGAGGAAGAGGGCGGGTCTTGGCTCCGTTTGGCAGGATGTTGCTCCTCGCCATCTCCTTCTCGTCCTCGTTTCCTCAGGTGTCTTCCTGAGGTCGACTCCGCCTCCTGCAGGGGGAGGAGCTCAATGGATCAGGAGGCAGAGTCATGGTTGTACTGTGTGTGTGTTTGTGTATGTGTGGTTACCATGGCAGCAGCAGCCCCCCCTCCCTCTGCAGACGGGTACATGAGCCTGTGCGCCGTCTCCAACATCTTCTGGTCCTGCAACCATCACAGAGTGAGCAGCCTACACTTCCCACAATGCACCTGAACATCTTTAACCCTCTTAAGACTTGCTGCTGTGGCGTCAGCTGTGCTGCAGACAGCCAACCGCCATCGTTGAGGGCGGAGTCACTACAAAAACACTGAACACAGCCTGGTGTGTGGTTATTTGGGGGGGGGGGCGTCAGGTGAGGCGTTACCTGTAGCCAGGGGTGCTGCAGAGCTTCCTCGATGCTCATCCTCTTCATCGGATCAACGACCAGCAGCTTCCTCACCACGTCTTTGGCTGAAACACAAACGGGTCATGTGAGTCCAAACACAGGAAGCTCCGCCTTTCACCCTCAGGTTACAAACAAGATGGAACCAAAACAGTGCTGTGCAAAAGTCCTGAGCCCCCCGACGCACTGTGGAACACGCAGTGACTCACTGACACACCTGAACACACCGTGAGCCTGACGGTGACTCTGCGGTGTGAGCGGCTCTCGTTTGCTCATTTCTAGAAAAATCTCAGCGAGCGCCCGACAGCGAGCCCGTCATCACTAACAGTATCGATAAAGTTCAACTGAAGCAGCTCGTACCTTGATCAGAGACGCTCGTCCACTTGGACTGAACCATGGTGAACTCTCCTCTGATGATCTGATCGGTGACCGACTGATGACCAAAGCTCTCGTGGAACGGAGGGTAACCTCCCAGGCTGACACGGGAGGAGAGAGAGGAGGACTCAGTGATGAAGCCGGAGTTTCAGCAAATCATCAAACGTTACATAGAAATTTTCACAGCTTTCAGGTGGAGATGTTTGACCTCTGACCCTGGCTGTTTCTCTGCGGCTTCCTCGACAGTCACACGCCTGCAGGAGCCAGGTGACATCGCTGCCGAAGTTCCATAAATGACTCGTAAACCACGAGTCATTTATGGAAACCGAGTCCTACAGGGATAAAAAGCGGACGCGTATTCTGCTTCTTCTTCGTTGGTGGTGTGAGCAGGCGTAGGACGCTGTGAACACCTCGGACAGCGACGCGTGCCGAGGTCTCGGGAATCAGCCGGTCGCTGCAGAAATGCCGTTTCTGTCAGACTCTGCCGCTGACAGCCAGCGTTTTCTGTCTGTATGTAATACGGATTCATCCCAGGGAGGAGCCTTTCTGAGGTCAAAGGTCAGGTGACCAGGGACTGAACATGGGTGTAAAAGCACGTGCCCACGAGCACGTTTAACACTCTGGGGTCGACAGAGGTACGTGCGCGTCAAAATCAGAAGACCAATTTAAGACGACACAGCAACCAGCGACCCAGAGTCTCGTTTCAACCTGGGTCGAAGGTGCGGACTTCAAACTTTATACCAGTTCTGATAGAGTCTGAATGAGTTATGATAAAAGTACACGCCACGTTTTTCTGAATAAAACTGTGTTTACAGCAGGAAGAACGGGCAGTGCTAGCAAACACTTCCCTATTGGTGTTATTGTGTACCATGTCAACCAATCAAAAAATGATATGGCAACATGTGGCACTTGGTTGTTTAGGAAGAGGGGGAAGTTTGAAGAGTGCGGTCAGTGTGCGGTCAGTGTGAGTGCGGTCAGTGTGCGGTCAGAGTGTCAGAGTGGTCAGTGTGTAGTCAGAGTGCAGTCAGAGTGTAGTCAGTGTGTAGTCAGTAGTCAGAGTGCAGTCAGGTGTAGTCAGAGTGAGTCAGAGTGTAGTCAGAGTGTAGTCAGAGTGTAGTCAGAGTGTAGTCAGAGTGTAGTCAGGTGTAGTCAGGTGTGTCAGTGAGTCAGAGTGTTCAGAGTGTGTCAGTGTGTAGTCAGAGTGTAGTCAGAGTGTAGTCAGGTGTAGTCAGAGTGTAGTCAGTGTGTAGTCAGAGTGTAGTCAGTGTGTAGTCAGAGTGTAGTCAGTGTGTAGTCAGAGTGTAGTCAGTGTAGTAGTCAGAGTGTGGTCAGTGTGTAGTCAGAGTGTAGTCAGTGTGTAGTCAGAGTGTAGTCAGAGTGTAGTCAGTGTGTAGTCAGAGTGTAGTCAGTGTGTAGTCAGAGTGTAGTCAGTGTGTAGTCAGAGTGTAGTCAGTGTGTAGTCAGTGTGTAGTCAGAGTGTAGTCAGTGTGTAGTCAGAGTGTAGTCAGTGTGTAGTCAGAGTGTAGTCAGAGTGTAGTCAGTGTGTAGTCAGAGTGTAGTCAGAGTGTAGTCAGAGTGTAGTCAGAGTGTAGTCAGAGTGTAGTCAGAGTGTGAGTCAGTGTGGTCAGAGTGCAGTCAGGTGTAGTCAGAGTGTGGTCAGAGTGTAGTCAGTGTGTAGTCAGAGTGTAGTCAGTGTGTAGTCAGTGTGTAGTCAGAGTGTAGGAGTGTGTAGTCAGTGGTCAGAGTGTGTCAGGTGTAGTCAGAGTGTGTCAGAGTGAGTCAGTGTGTAGTCAGGTGTAGTCAGAGTGTAGTCAGGTGTAGTCAGTGTGTAGTCAGAGTGTAGTCAGTGTGTAGTCAGAGTGTGTCAGAGTGTAGTCAGAGTGTAGTCAGTGTGTAGTCAGAGTGTAGTCAGTGTGTAGTCAGAGTGTGGTCAGAGTGTAGTCAGTGTGTAGTCAGAGTGGGTCAGAGTGTAGTCAGTGTGTAGTCAGTGTGTAGTCAGAGTGTAGTCAGAGTGTGTCAGAGTGTAGTCAGTGTGTAGTCAGAGTGTAGTCAGTGTGTAGTCAGTGTGTAGTCAGAGTGTAGTCAGAGTGTAGTCAGAGTGTAGTCAGAGTGTAGTCAGGTGTAGTCAGAGTGTAGTCAGAGTGTAGTCAGAGTGTAGTCAGAGTGTAGTCAGAGTGTGGTCAGAGTGTAGTCAGAGTGTGGTCAGTGTGCGGTCAGTGTGCGGTCAGTGTGTTGTGTTGTAATTGTTTTATTTAGAAATGTAAAATTTCTTTTTGCACTTCAAGTTATGAAAATGATTCGTTAAACATGTTTGTGGGTTTTACAGAAAAAAAATAAAGTTTTTCTACTCTGAAGTTTTTTTCGTCTGAATATAGATCAATTGTGCGATCGATGTCAATGGCTCCACGCAGGAAGTAGAAACAGACTCTGGCGTGCCGGCAGCGGCTCTGTTTTCATGTGCCGAGGGTAACCAGGCGGGCAAACGAGCGAGCGCACGAGTCGAGGCGGCGCGACAGGTGAATGAACGAAAGCGTTTCCCTGACAACACAAATCATCCATCATCACCCTGCAGCAGGAGGCCGGAGCCTACCAGACGAAGAGCAGCACGCCGAGGCTCCAGGCGTCCACGGCGAGCCCGTAACCTGTGGTGGACGCGTGCGTGAACACCTCCGGAGCCAGGTAAGATGGAGTCCCACACAGAGTCCTCATCAGCACCGCCTCCTCCAGGATCCGAGACTGGTTAAAGTCCGTCACCTGACGCGCACACACACACACGCACTCAGTGAGGAGGGAGGAGGTGGTGATGCTGCAGGTGATGCTGCAGGTGAGCACACGTACCTTGATGAGACACACATCGTCCTGTGAGGACAGCAGGATGTTCTCCGGCTTCAGGTCTCTGTGGATGATCCCGTTACTGTGGAGATACTACACACACACACACACACACACACACAGTTACAGTCGCTGCACCTGTGTGTGTTTGTGCGCGTGCTCGTTACCATAGCAACACCAGCTAACCTCAACAGCACGAAGCATCTGGTAAAAATAAAGTTTGGCAACAGATTCGTTGAGCTGCTGCTTCGACTTCACTCTGTGGAACAGCTCCCCCCCCTCCATCCTGACAGGTGAGAGAGAGACACAGGTGAGAGAGAGGCTGCGTCCACACTAGCGTTCACAGAGTTGTGCGTCCACATTGAAACGGCCAAAAACGCTTCCGTTCCAGTCCTGCACATGCGTGAAATGCAAGAAGATTCGACCTGCCTCATTTCTGTCTGCCGTTTATTTACGTTCCGGCTCGTTGACACGTCGGCAAAATGTGGAGGAAAAGCACCGAGTTTTTTAAATGGACTCACAATGAGGTGGAGTCGTTGCTGCGAGTAACACAAAAGTACAAAGTTGCAAAAGCCAGTGAGAATTAAAGAATTTGAAGAAAAGCTCTCAGGAGCATGTACAGGCTGATGTTGATCTTTAATAGGGCTGTCAAACAAAACAACTGCTGTGTAACGCCCTCCGCTATCTCAGTTTAATAGGTCACATGACTGCATCACATGACTAAAATGTGTCATCATTTTGGAAAAGCACCGTGTTCAAATGTATCCGTTTTCAAAACGCGGCGTTTTCCTTGAGCGAAAACGGCGTCTCAGTTTGGACGGGAGGCCAAAATGGAGAGAAAAAAAACGAAAACGTATTAGTGTGGACGTGGCCTGAGAGACAGGTGGAGTTTCACGCACAGCTCCAACACGATGTAGAAACTTTCCTCCGTCTGATAGAAGTCCTCCGTCTTTATGAGACAAGGCTGCAGGAGACAAGGAGTGAAGAGAAGGAAAGGAAGGATGAGTGTTGTTACTGGCGATAAAGGAGCGTTCCTGTACTTGTGCTTTTTCTTCTTCTTCGTTGGTGTTACTCACGTGGTCGACCCTCTGCAGGATGTCAATCTCTGTCTTTGCGTTTCGTGTCGCCGTCTGTGATTGGACAGAAAAATAAGTTGTTGTTCCCCTTCAACTCAAAATAAGGTTGAGACGCCATGTTTGTAGTTCTCTGGGAGGTATCTGTGTTTTCACACCTTGCTGACATTTCATTGGGTTAAACTGAGTTCAATTCAATACCTGATTGGCTGGCACCAGAAATATTTAAATTAAGCAGTGTACTGAGAGTTTCCCGCCCCCCTAGTGGTGATTTCATGCAGTGCACTGTTAGTTTGACAGAGAGGGGTGTCTGCATTTTTGACGCTATTAAAATTCATAAATGAACTGACACCATCACACCTGCTGACAAACACGCAGTCGAAAGAAACGAGCAGCGGGTCTCAGCCAATCAGAGAGCAGATGAGGCGACTCACCCCTTCAGACTGAAAGTTCTTCTTGTTTATGATTTTCACTGCAAACTTCCTGCAGGTGGATCGCTCGAAAGCCAGCCGGACCTCGCCACACACTCCTCTGAAACACACACAGTCAGCAGGGTGGCACAGGAAATGACATCACAACGCCACGACACAACTCACGTGCCGATGCGTCGCGTCAGTAGGTATTTGTCTTGCAGGTCTCTGGGTAGGCTGGACTGATCGTCCGACATCAGGTCGATGAAGACAAAGACTGCAGAGAGACATGAGCAGGAGGTGAGACCGGCACCAGGGTGTCCAGGTGTTTTCAGGTGCTGTTCTGGTGGGCGGAGTCACCTCGGTTTCGTTGTTCAGCCAGAGAGATGACGGCGTTATTGACCAGAGGAAGCTTCTTGTCTTTCCCGATTGGAATCCCATCGAGAAAAGTGCCGTTATTACTGAGGTCCTCCACGAAGACCTCCGAGCCCTCCTGACACACACAGGTGGAGAGGGTGACGTTAAAGCCCCGTGAGCGCAGTACTCACAGTACGATCAGTGCTAATATCAGTGGTAGTAGTACTGCAGTAGTCTCACTCTGTAGATCCTGAAGTGTTTCTTGCTGTAGATTCGGAACTTTCTGGAATTTCGGTCATTTGGATCCTCCAGGACGTAGTTACACTTGGAGTCCCGTCCAAACAGGTACTGGTCCTCTATGCAGTCTGTAAACAAACAAACAGGAAACAGGAAGTGCTCCTCTATGCAGTCTGTAAACAAACAAACAGGAAACAGGAAGTGCTCCTCTATGCAGTCTTCTGTCCCCCCGTGGAATTACAAAACCTGCAATTCTGGGATTTTATTTGGTTGCTAATTAGCAGCAGCAGCTAGCTCATCCTTTGGTCACTGCTTGAAACAGGAAGAGGTGTTAAAAAAACCAGGATGCCACGTCCATCTTTTATCTACAGTCTAAAGATCTGTCACACCTGAAGCACTGTCTGCTGAACAGAAGTATCCTGATTACTTCATGTGTTATTTAAAGTATGGAACAGCAGAGCTCGGCTGGCTGATTATGCTAATTCTGCTGCTAATTCTACTAATTACTATTTCCAGACACAGCACAATATGTTCAGTTTAATGGAACCTGATTAAGAACAGAGTGAACAGAGGACGTGCCGGCGTGTTGTGAGCAGCGGTACCGTGGCTCCTGAAGCCCGGGACCATGGGCAGTAGGCGGCCCCAGGGTTGCGGCTCGGGCTCCTCTGGGACGGACGCGAGCGTTACGGGGATGGTGTCCACGCTGCTCAGAGTCCCCGAGCCACTAGATGACTGACTGGCTGAGCTGGGCCCACTGGATGAACTGGAACCAGGCTGGGACTGGGACTTGGCCTGGGACGGGGACAGGGTGGACTGGGTTTGGGACTGAGGACGCTCCCCCTCAAGAGGCCCCTTTTCAGACATCCTTCAGCTCTGCAGACACATGAGAGACAAAATCAAGAACAAGAGAAGAAGAGTTTGGGTTTCTGCCGCAGGATCTTGGACATCCGTGGGCTCGGAGCCCCAGAGCACACAGTGCAACATCCCCACGCCCCACTGTGGCAGCGTTCAAACACAGACCGCGTGTCCGAGACTCACACTCACCGTGAAACCGGAACCCCGCCGGTGCTGTCAGTGTGCGCGCGCCTTCTCAGCGAGCTCTGCACTCAGCCGAGCCAGAACCAGCATCCGGGTCTCTGCGCGTCCACGAACCGCGACGCGTGCTTCGATTTCTTGACCGGGACCTTGCGGGACACGCGCTTCCTTGTGGGCTATTTTTTCTCTGACGTCACGAAGTGGTTCCAGCCAATGATAAGTGGGAATGTGGATCACGTGCACCGGGAGCCGTCGGCTGGTGTTTCCGGGTTTGGTTTGGTCCCGCAGAGGAGATTCAGAGGTTGATCGATAGTTATGATCGATACATGAACGGAAGTCAGGGCGCGGAGCGAGCCACGTGTCTGTCTGCACACCTGTCTGCGAGTCCGACATGTCCAACCAGAGAGGCGGCAAGACTCTGATCATCACAGACGGTGAGTGTCCGGGGGGGAGGGGGTCTGCAGTCGCCATGTGAGCCTCCGTCACAGCTCCAGCTGTTCTGTGTGTGCAGATGAGGAGGTGGAGGAGGTGGAGGCGGAGGAGCTCAACCCGTTCTCCTTCAGAGAGTTTCTGCGCTGGAAGAACCAGGACCCGGACCCGGAGCAGGCACGCACTGAGGTCAGAGCTGCACAGCTGAAGGTGCACCTCTGTCCTAAGGCAGCGAGCACAAACACAGAGTGGGTCTGTGCTCACAGCTGTGACACGCGTGTACATGTGCATATTTAAAAGAGTGACACAAACTTCAAACCGCTGCGCTGTGGCGGTCGTGGATGTGATCGCTGTGGGGCGAGCGTGTAATCGGCTCGCAGCTCAGACTCAAACCGTCCATCGGCCCCACGCTGAGTGTTCAGCCCACGTCATGCTGCTGTAACTGTTCTCATGAAACTGCAGAGGTGACCTGAGCTCAGCTGCTGTTTCTCAAAATCTGCAGAAAACAGCGTCTCCGTCACAAACACACGCGTGTCACAGCTGTGAGCACAGACCCACACTGAGCGCCTGCAGTGACACAACACATGCTCTGTGACGTCATCTGACCCCACCTGCTCCTCCTCGGAACGACCACAAACCACCGAGGTTACAACACAGCGTGGAGTCAGATGTGCGTTTTTGTAGTCCAGCTCCGGCGTCACGCCGCTAAGCAGACAGGAGTCTCAGCATCAGAAAGACTTTATTTATCCCCAAGGGGCAAGTAACAAACAACAGAGCAGCATAACGTTGATGATAAGGACGATAAGAGTGAGATAATAAATACACAGAATATACAGTTTTAAAATTAAAGTGACTAAAAGTGAATAATGTGTCGGTAGTGTAAGAAGAGAGTAGTTCCTGTTTCTGGTGGGGGAAATGTTCTTATTGGCTGGAGTTAAAAGGCAGAGCTGCTTTGGGGACAAAGGTGGCGCTCCTCCTCCTCTCAGTCCTGCAGGAAATGCAGCGGCGGCGGCGCCCAGAGGGTGAAGAATGTGAGCGGGGTCGTTGATGATTTTGGCTGCCTGTCTGAGGCCTGTTGGCTGAAAACCTGCCAGACACTGATGCAGTGTGCTGCAGTCTGTTCCTGTATGAAGGCTGAGGGAGTGGAACCAGCAGCTGATGGAGAAGGTCATGATGCTTTCCAGGAAGACGTAGTAAAAAGTCATCATGATGGGTGTGCTGGCTCCTAAGGAGGTGTAGCCGTTGGTGGCACCTCCTGAGAATCTCCTCAGTGTTTGTCAAAGATGGTTCCCAGGTATTTGTACTCCTCAGCTACCTCCGCTGGTTTCCCGTGGATGGTGGTGGTGACTGAAGCAGCCAGATCCCTCTGCCTGCTGGAGAAGGTCACCACCATCTCTTTGGTGTTGCTCATGTTCAGTTCAAGGTTAGGAAAATCCCAAAAAGCTGGTTGTGTTCATCTGGACGTTTTCAGTGGGAGTCTCATCATCAGGTGACTCCTTCAGTGTCAGCTGACTGCAGGTTCCAACCTTATAAACAGGACATCTGCATAACGACTGACACAGCAGTATGGGCCCACTCTAACCCACTGATGAGTCCCACTCACAGAGGGTTGGGGAATGGCTGCAGTCACTGTAAGATGGTGACAGGTGTTCCCTTAGGCCCCTCCTTCATGCTTCGACATCAACAACCCACTGACAGGAGTCAGTATTTCCACGGCTGGACAGTTAAAAACAGTGTTTCTGCCGCTGCCACAGTGTAACCTGAAGTGTCAATCAAAAGGACCAATCACACCGGGAGCCTGTGCTTCTTTAGGCTCCGCCTACCCATAATAGCGTGAAACTAGCAGCATGTTGGTTATGGAATATAATTTCGTACATTTCAGTTCAAATTCAATACCTGCGACTGATTCGCCGTTAACAACAAAGGCAGAAAACTTGATCAAATATCTGTTAACAGATGAAAACACAGTTTTCTCCTCTAAGCACACGGTCTGTCTATCATTAGTAGCTTATACAGGATGAGAACTTCAGCGCAGCATGCTTGAGTCTGTGTCCTCAGCACAGTCCACGGGCCAGATGTTTGGTCCCCGTAAACACACTTGGCGCACAGCCTGAACCGTCTGCTCGGTGTAAACGTTGACGTACGTTTGGCTTCACAGCGACAAACAGACCAAAGCTCGTACGACCCGAGCCATGTTAGATATCGCTAACGTCACCTAACTTCGCCGAAGGTTAGCTGAGTTTAACGTGTTTTCAGATTCTTCGTTATGCTAACATTCGTCCGTTTCTGGACCGCTTCCCTTCGACAGGCCGCCATTTTTTCCAAAACATTTCTTCAACCTCAGATTCGCAGTGAATCCTGGGATAGCGTGGACTACGAAGGATACACCCGACCCGCCTCACACAGCCTCTGTCTGTCTCATCAGGAGGAGGAGGAGGAGTGGGGGCGGAGCTTCCAGTCAGGCATTGGTAGCACCTCCTCCCTGTGCACAGAGGAGGAAGAAGAAGAGGAGGAGACCAGGTGAGTCAGATGAAGGGCGGGGCGTAAAAATGTCCGCGCAGCTTCTGTGCAGATGAAACTGCACCTGCCGTGAAGTCACCTTCACCTGTGTCACCAGGTTCTCCTCCAAACCTGAAGCAGCTGCAGGAGGAGGTGCAGTAGGAGGAGGAGAGAACTATGAAGGAGATGACGAGACCTCAATGGCTGAGCCAGCCACCTTCTGCAGGAGGAGGAGTGCCAGGAGCAGCCAGACGCAGCAGGTAACCCAACCACGGAGCACTTAGTTCAGGGAGCGTGGGACAAAGCAGAACAGGCGTGTTAATGAGCTCCTGTTCTGTCTCAGCTGAAGGAGGAGAACGCAGCACTGAGGAGGACCGTCAGGGAGCTGCAGAGGAGAGCCGAAGTGAACGAACGCAGGTTTGTACCAACCAATCACAGGACAGCACCGCAATATGTCGCTGACCAATCATTTACGCAGCATGCCTCTGTCTCCCAGGGCGTCGCAGCTCTCGGAGGAGCTGCTGCAGAGGAGGCGTCAGGAGGAGAAGGAGGCCCAGGACCTGGAGAGCATGGTTCACTCTGTGGAGCAGAACCTCCACCTGATGACGGTACACACAAACACAGTGTTTGCATGAACGTGTGTGTGTGTGTGTGTGTGTGTGTGTGTGTGTGTGTGTGTGTGTGTGTGTGTGTGTAAAAATACTCTACGTGTGTCCATGTTAGAGGCGAGCGGTGAAAGCGGAGAACGCCGTTTCCAAACTGAAGGCGGAGCTACAGCAGCTGCAGGTGAGATGGAGAATGAATCATTGATTATTGATAATCTGCTGGCTGTGTGTATCAGCGCGCGTGTGTGTGTGTGTTTGAGGCCGAGGTGGATTCTCTGCGGGCTGAGAACAACGGTCTGAAGTCGATGGAGTCTCAGGTCGTCATGACGATGAGGCAAAATGCTCAGGTGGCATCCGACTACCTGAACAAGATGGCGAGCCACGCCCACTCCTCCATCAGGTCAGTACCTGCAGACACATACAGCCATCAGCCACAACACCAAGCTGTTAATGCTGCTACTCTCTCCCTGTCACCTGTCTGTCTCACCTGTCTGTCTCACCTGTGTCTGTCTCACCTGTGTCTGTCTCACCTGTGTCTGTCTCACCTGTTGTCTCACCTGTTCACTGCTTATGTCTCTTCCACCTGTCTCTGTCTCACCTGTGTCTGTCTCACCTGTCTCTCTCACCTGCTGTCCTCTCTCACCTGTCTCTCTCACCTGTCTCTGTCTCACCTGTCTCTGCTCACCTGTTCTGTCTCACCTGTCTCTGTCTCACCTGTTCTCTCACCTGTGTCTGTCTCACCTCTCTGTCTACCTGTCTCTGTCTCACCTGTCTGTCTCACCTGTCTCTCTCACCTGTCTCTTGTCTCTCTCACCTGTCGTCTGTCTCACCTGTCTCTCTGCACCTGTTTCTCGTCACCTGTTCTGTCTCACCTGTGTCTCTCTCACCTGTCTGATCTCACCTGTCTGTCTCCTTCCCACCTGTCTCTGTCTCACCTGTGTCTGTCTCACCTGTCTCTGTCTCACTCTCTCTACCTGTGTCTGTCTCACCTGTCTGTCTCACCTGTCTCTGTCTCACCTGTCTCTGCAGGCAGCTGCTGGGGGAAGCAGAGACTCTGCGTTTGGTGTCTCAGCTGCTGCAGTCCATCGATAAAATCTCCTCCCTGAACTCAGAGTCCTGAACTCCTTCGGACCTCCTGGTTGTCATGGAAACATCCAGGAGAGGTCTGTCTGTGAGATCAGAGGTCAGCAGGTATTTTATTTTGGAAGGCCCCAGCTATGCTGACTGCTGATTGGTGGACTGTGACTGTGTGAGGGCCGAGCATCATGTTGATTCATAAACTCTGTGATAATAAAGCGCTCTGATGATCGGAGGTGTGCACCACGAAGACGACTTGTTGGCTGATCCGGGTGACTTCAGGGTTAACGTCGGTTTCCTGAAGGTGGCAGGCCAATCAGCTGTCCTGAACGTAGCGTCACCATTCCTGGAGGATCCCTCGGACCACTATGGGGAGAACGGGAGGGTCTGGGGGCTTCGTGCGCTGAGCTTCAATAGTCTTTTTTCCCCCTGTTGGCAGCAAGTTCAAGTTTATTTATATAGCACATCTGTTGACAAAAGTAGTCAAAGCAGAAAACATAAAATAGGATAAAACAAAGTTGAAGCGGTTTCATTGTTCTGTAAACATTCATGTATTCGTGCTGAGCTCGTGTCAGGTTT